ATATGCATTTTCTATCTATTTTTAATGACCTGCAAAGTGAAGTGTGGGATGCGAAACGTGAGCTTGAATGTACGTGTGTGGGTGTGACTGTGATCATGAGCGTGGATGTCCGTATGAGTATCTGTGGTCCGAGCGGCGCGGATATGATGTGGGTTTAGGTGTGAGTGTGGGCATGAATCTTTTCTTTAGCCACACCCCATCCATCCACATTTATACTCACATTCTATGCATAACAGCTTTCAGGTTACCACTACCGATGGTTTCTATCATGAATCAACAAGTAATGTTTCTTTGCTGTACAACAAGTATTTTTCCATTCTAAGATCACTACTAGTTATTGCCAGATGTTGCTGTCGCAGTTGAGAATACGGGCGAGGGAGCTATATTAACTAGCCCATATAAGAATCGATAAGAATTCAAAACTGCCGGTTTTTACTGGACGTCTTTTATGAGACATTCCTACGCTTTAAAGGAAAACGTAGATTAATAAGCCATTTAAGGGTTTATAAAAATTGAACGCATAATAAAACCATTTTATCGTATAGGAAAAGGCCCTAAACCCTTTCAAAAGGTTTTGGATAGGATTTAGGAAATGAAATTACCCTTTCATATACCCTTCTGAAGAGTTATTGACAACTCACTATGGACCGAAATCCATGTCTTTATATCAGTGAAACGTTACAGAAAATCTAAAAGAACACATAAATTCACGGAGTGACTGTGAGTGTGGGTTTCGTCATCGAAAATGAACCATTTTTTTATTAGCCATAAACCCTTTCGCTTATGAATCCTTTAAAGGTTTAACACATCAGCATAAACTCTCTAAGGGTTTAAGAAGACTTGCTGGAAGCGTAATGGTTTAGTGTTCTACTTTGTTTTTCAGTTAATCATGAATATCATCTTATTAGAGACTGATATTTCTTTTTTTTCAGTTGTATATTTACTCCATGAGTCTAGTAGTAAGAAAGAAGAGGTTCTTGTCACGAACGACATACTATCTCTTCGTCGTTGTTTGCGAAAGACAAGCGAATTGATAAAACACAAATTTGTCGATTTCAATCCAGGTAGCTGTTTCTACAAGACTATATATATGTGTGTGCCGACTGTTAAGACTATTTGTAGGAGCATAATATTACAGACGTTTGACGATGAAAACCATTGTGACCTTGCTTTTGATATGGTGTTCCTTGCTTCATACAGTTATTTATTGTTCCAATATGAAATACTTTCAAATTATGAATTGTACACATTTTAATTTTATCAATAAAAGAAACCAAGTGAGTGTAGCACATAACCATTTTCTGTTTCTATAGTACGATAGTATATCGATGGAGGCCGAGGTTGAATATTTTATGTGAGGTTTGGTTTATTTTCTAGAGTGAAAGTGTATTCTATTATCATCCAACAATAGAAAGATCGATAATAGGAAGTTCGGAAGTTTTTAATGTAATGGAGAATACACTTAGAGGTACTTGTAGTTCATTCTTGTGTTTATTTCGTACTACTCGTTTATATATTGTTCTAGAGCCAGAACCGGAACCATTAGAAAACGTGCTACTAACGGTAGCAAACGATCCAATTATTGGAATTTTCAATACTGTAGCGGGTGGTAATACTAATCTGGCTTCCCTAGATGGAAACGATGCTGGTAGTTACTATCCAAAAGAAAGTCCAGCACATGCAATTGATAATAGTGTCTGGACTAAATATAATAATCAAGGCAATGGACCACAATCAGTTTCATCTGCAACAAAAGGGGTTGGTACTGGATTTATAGTGACACCAAGATACGGATTATCGATCGTCACTGGTTTCCAGTTTGCAACAGGCAATGACCGTCCTCAACGGGATCCCTTGACAATTACTTTGGAATGTACCAATGTAACTCAAGACGATCGTTTAATTGGAAAAAACTGGAAATTGATTTATACGGGAGAAACAGGGTTAAAAACTGATCCGGGACGGTCGAGATTTGGACAACGGCAAACATTCAATAACACCATAGCTGCGAAAAGTTATCGATTAATAGTAACATCGCAAAGACTTCCTGAGTACAGTATTCAGTATAGCGAAGCACATCTCTATGGAAATGTCATAATAACTGATATAGGTAACACTGAAAGCAAACATTGGGATCTCTTCTTACTTTTGAATAATTCAATGGCCCATTTCGTTTTGCTTTGTAGTTCGTGAGTATGTAGTAATGAATGTTCAATATGATATAGCTAATGCAGTCATATTTAATTCACAAAAGCCGACATCAGTTTTAGAAATTGATGCTACGAATTATATGAGTACTGAACAAAAAATGACCAAGTCAAGAACCATTGCAACAACAATAACAAATACATGGAGTTTTAGGCAAGCACTTACAGTAAGAGTTCTTACAAATCATTGTTTCTTTCTTTTTTTCACTAGCTCACTTATTCTTTAGATGGGCGTTAAAATATCCGTAACTGCTGGTATACCTAACGTGGCGGAGATGACGTATGTATTAATCACGTAGAATAAACATTTTGTACCTTTGAAATCAATGCTTTATGCCATAGAAGTGTTGAGACCAGTCTTGAACATACATTTGAAATAGAAAATGGCCAATCAATAAGTAATGAAGAAACATTTACATCTGAATTGGAACTGACTGCACCACCTCGTTCAAGAGTACATGCCACTTTAGGTTTATTAGATGGACAAGCTGATATCAAATTTACATCGACATTAATTACCATATATGAAGACGGTAGAAAATTGGTAGAACAAGGTGCCCAAGGAGTCTTCAGAAGTGTGTCTGCTCATAAGATGATAGCAACATACTATGAACCCATACCAATTGATATTGTTAGCAGTATTGGATAGATAAATCTATCGGACTGTTTATTGTGCCAGAAGCATATGCTTTCTCGGACAGCTGTCTTTTTCTTAGTTAGAATTCTTTAAGGAAAAGTTTTTCAGTGAAAATTAAACCAGAAGACGACTGTGGTAGTGAGTCTGTGCGTGGATGCGGAGTGTTGGGTATGGCATGGACGTGCAGTTGTGAAAATAAGATGGGTTTGGGTGTGGGTGTGCGGGATGTGGGTGTGGGTGTGCGTGTGCGGGATGTGGGTGTGGGTGTGAGTGTGGGTGTGAGCGTGGGTGTGGGGGTGCGGGATGTGGGTGTGGGTGTGAGTGTGGGTGTGGGTGTGGGTGTGAGTGTGGGTGTAGTTGAAGATAACACACACAACCACACCCCACACCCACACCCCACACCCACACCCCCCCCCCACCCTCCCACCCCCTCACACCAACACCCACACCCCACCCACTCCCACAGCACCCACACCCACACCCACACCCACACCCCACACCGACCCACACACCCACCCACACAACACCCACACCCACACACCCACCCATACAACACCCACACCCACACCCACATCCGCATCATGTAAGCCATTGGTTGAACCCATGCTAACGTTGCTTGCTGCGAATACAGCCTCTCGGGTTTTTCGCCGAAAACATGATGTGTTTGGACAAGATAAATTTGAGTGTTTACCTTCATTTGAGTAGTATGAATATGATAAGCAATCGAGGACTGATATCCTTTTTTTAACTATCAGCAGTTAGTTTTTTCTAACTCGCAAAAAGAAACAGAAGACAGTCAATACTCAGGTGAAGTGAAACCAAATCAGTACATGTTGACAGTAACGTGATAAAAATTGCCAGTGCCACTGCGCAATTATGTGATTTGAGAGACAACGTTGTGAAGAGTAACAAATAAGAACATCAATGAAAGGCTTCCCCAATAAAGAAAGTACTAATAATGAGGGTACGAGGTTGGGGTGCAGAATGTGGATAGAATAGAGGTAATGCCTTGACTCGCAACCATTCACACTCACAATCCTCAATGATGCTAAGAAAAACCCATGCATCGGAATCACAGGATAAAATACATTATGATGAACACATCGTTTAATATTATTCTTTTTTACATGAAAATAAGTAGGCAGGGTGTGTGTGGGTATGTGGATGTGGCTGTGGCTGTAAGTGTGAGGGTTCAGTTGCGGGTAATTGGGACTGTTGATGTGCGGGTGGCTGTGGGTGTGTGAGTGTGGGCGTGTGGGTGTGTGTGTGGATGTGTGGGAGTGAGTGAATGTGAGAAGAGAAGGCTTACACCCACATCTACCCAAATACCTACATCCACCCAAACATCCACATCCCACACCCACACCCTTGAAGAGTTTATGAAAAATCGTACTTACTAGGGAACATTCCCAGGTGAAGAAGCGCTTTTCAGCCGAGGTTTTGCGCATCTTGTAGCCCATAGTGAGCTATGACTATGGTAAAAAAGTTCGGGTTTCTGGCTTGATTCTGAGGAGATATCAAGCTCCTAGTGAATTTTCTCTATAGTATGCCTACATTGTTAGCAAAGCTATACTTCCGAATTTTGATCTGAAACTTTGCTTGCATAAAAACCTAAGCTAGACTAGTTTTCATAACAGATTTCAGAAGTTTTGAGCAAAGTCTCTTTAAGATATGAAACTATCAAGGTATAGTCCCTTTTTCATAATAATATATATACTATGCATTTTTTTCAAAGCTTCGTATCTTAGAGAGACTTTGTTCAAAACTTCTGAAATTTGTTCTGCAAACTAGTCTAGCAGAGGCCTTTATGCAAGCAAAGTTTCAGGTCAAAATTCGGAAGTATAGCTTTGCTAACAATGTAGGCATACTATAGAGAAAATCCACTAGGAGCTCGGTATCTCCTCAGAATCAAGCCAGAAACCCGAACTTTTTTACTGTAGGCATAGCTCACTATGGGCTACAAGATGCGAAAAATCCCGGCTAAAAATCGCTCCTTCACCTGGGAATGTTCTCTAGTTAAAGCAAAGGTTTATTATTCTGCGCTTTTTTTTACAGTGCACACCCGACCACTGAAGTTCTAAGAGAATCAAACGTAGGCAATATGCAAATTCGTAGAAACAGAATCATTCGCTAATCTCGGTTGAAGGCCATTTGACTCATGCGAATGATACTTTAGGCTGGTATGGTTGAACTTGCAAATTAGATTTTTCTTTGGGTTCTACGAAAATGACGTAACTATCGGTTTGAAGATGTTGTTCGGCATGATCATCATGAAACTGATCTATTGCTTGTCGAGTCAGAGGTCCATAAACAGTATAAGCTGATCGATCTAATGCAAACAATTCTTTCGCATCAAGAATTTTTTCAACGAATGGTATAAGATCTTTTTGAGGTGCTCTGTCCGTCCACCAGGCTGTGTATTCAAAAATTAAATGATGAATGCGCTTTTTACGAAATAATTTTTCGGCCGAACGGAGTACATTTAGTTCGAAACCTTCGACATCAACTTTTAATATAAGAATCGATGATTGTGGTGACCAGTGAACATTATCGAGACGAATTGTAGATGCATACAAAGTTCCATTCGATACTGTTGTTTCACTATCACCTTGAGAAAACTGTAGTTGAGAATTGGAAGGTAAATTATTAACAGCTTTTTTGCATAACTTGAACACGTGAAGTAGAGAAATTATTGAGTGCAATCGATGTTCGAATAAGATCAACCATATGTGGTTGTACTTCAAAAAGAAACACTTGATAGTTACATGCTGCCGCATATAATCCGAATTCGCCTGTAAATAGAAAAAACGGGAATATTTGAGGTTTTACGCATATCTTCTCACATCACATAACACAGATAAAATTACTGCGTCGCTGTATTATATAAACCTCTTTCTGCAGATTCGAGCCATTTATTATATGGTCTCTGTCCCTTCCCAACTCAATAGAAGAGCCCCTGAAGAAACCAGGCAGTGGGCTTAATAGAAGTCCTTCCTTCTCCTTTAATTAATTAGTTTTTCGAAAACTATGGGATTTTACCAGTATACACACATCGAAATATGTCCAGATTTTAGCAGATAATCTTCACATAGAGGGCGTTATAGTATATCTACTTGATAAATAATTGTGGGAGGGGAGGAGCATCCTCACAATACTTTCTCACAGAGATTTAAACTGTCACTAGAAAAAGAAATCCTCAAACTGAGATGAATCCTGCAAATGAAATTACTCTAGTATCTAGATACTGCAAAAGTCGGATTCTCTTCTTTCATTACGCATATGCAAAGAATGTGAAAGAGAAATAAGTAGGTGAAGTCAGGTTTGAATTCAGTTATATATGTATAGAGAATTTTATTACGAATATCTTCTAAGTACAACTGCAAGAGCGTTATTCAATTGTATACTGTTGTCAGTGGCGTAGCCAGAAATTTCTGAGCGATGGGCCATTTCCCAGCTAAATTATTTTCTAGATTGGGCAACAATGGGCAATTCAAAATCACGTGGTCTATAGTTTTTGTATATTTATTAGTATCGCAAACATTATGTTCCCTGAAGAAAATTAAAAAGGAACAGTCATAAGTTTTTAGGATCTATTATCCAAAAAATCAAAAGTGAAGAGCAAAAAAAACCGTTTTTACCAATTTATTGGGCAATTACTATTGTCCGCAAAATTTATTGGGCAATAACTTTTGAACTATTGGGCAATTGCCCAATGGCCACCCCCCTGGCTACGCCACTGACTGTTGTATACAATGGGCCGAATCATGAACTGGAAGGTATTGGAGTGTAACTTTTTCGTGACGTATGGTGCGAAATATAGTACCATTTATATCATTAAATCACTTATGTAGAGCTGTTAAACATTGTAGGTGCATATGGTTTTTGGTCGACAAGCCTCTCAAATAAAAGTTAGGCATCAGTTAGAGCGAAGAAAAATAGAATATTTCAAGATTATAAGAGATCATTTGAAATGTTTTTGTTTTATGACTGCTAAAAAATAGGTTTTGGTTTGTACAATGTCGTTCGATGCAAATACACTTAAAAAGTCATAAAGGCTCCTATATTGTCCTGAGTTGACTGTTGAACGAATATGTTTGGTTGTCTTAGAGTAATTTTTATATTGACGCTTGATGGTTTTGTGAGCTTTTCAAGTCTGCTGACATAAATATATCAGATAATGTGTAAGGGAAAAAGTTACTAATAAATCATGCTGAGTTCAACGAGAAGAATAATCACAAATATCCTTGCATTTATATTCTTTCCTATAGATACATTTTTTTTTGTTTTTCTGTTTCTTTCCTGATTTTCTTTTAAGTTCTAATTGGCTCTTATAACGTAAATGCAACATTTTTATCAGATGTGAATCGATATAGTATCGTAACCTAATAACTATCAGATAAATTCATTCTAAGACTTGAAAAATATCTTCGTTGGCCGTCATAAGGAACTTGAAACGGATGTTATAGAAAACCGCTACAAGAATCGGCTTTTCGAAGTTTACTCTGAGTATCACTTGACGTATGAGTGACACATGTAAACGGTAAGATAGAGCTTCTAGAGTTGCATTTGGAACATTGGCAGTGACTTTGAAAGATGCTCCTAATTGAATTCTGCTTGGATATATTTAAATCATTATCTAACTGCACATACGTAAGAAAAATCAATTCACTTGATATAAAAAAAATATTATATAAAAAGAACTACATTTTATCAATCAATAATCAATTGCAGTAATTTTTATTCGAGCTCTGTAATATTTTGTAGTGCTGAATAAAATAGGGAGTGATTTAGTAGTTTCTCTTCAATAGATAAGTCATAGAAGCTGTGTAAGAAATTAATGTATTTACTAGTAACGGATAAGCAGCTTTTTATTCGAATCTCACACTTGAAGAGAACTTTTCTTAACCTAAAATTTCCCGAAATTTTCACAAACCTTAAATATCAACGTCCTCATTTTCTTCGACACTTCTATACAAATGCACACTCATTTATAGATTTGGTAAATTTGATTTATCATGCGTGAATTGAAACTATTTACTTATTTAAGATTTCTTTTATATTTAAGGTGAGACTATGTTAACAGTATAAACGTATTTAAAATACCTACCAACGAAGGCACCAACATCGACAACAATAAGTGATGGATCTTGTGCGCATCTTTTCATTAATTGAAGATTATTCACAATGGCTTTTTGGAAATCGATCACCTTCTGCGTACGGTGGTTACCCATTATAGGTAGCTAATTTAAAGGATGGAACACGATCGTTCATCTCTACCACTCTATATTGCGACGGTGCTAGTGTTGTGAAAAGGTTTGTTGATGATGATGGAAAGAATGCAAGTGAATGCGAAATCGGCAAAAAATTATAATAGAGAAGTAACCCGATCCCAACCATGAATGAGAACAAAATCTTTAGTACATCTCGGAAGTCACACTCAATCATAGCTAAATGATTGGCAATATTTACACTTTGATGAGTAAAAGTAACGGTTTGATATTTTCTTTCTGAAAATTAAATATCATAAAAAAAATTGTCTCTTTGAATTTCATATTTCATCAAACAATTGCTGCTCATAGGTATTGAAATCGATGAGCCAATTAACTATTTGCCTTCATCACCTGAAAATAGTCATATGATTTATAAAAGGAGCATCGTTTTTAATGAAACTTTCTATTAAATTTAACAAAAAACTCAATCTACCATTTTTCATCTGTAAATGACACCAACTCACACTAAAATGGAATGTGTCGCATGTGTCGTACTTTTTGACAGAATGTACGACACATTGAAGTAAGATGAGAGGTGCTCGTTTCGAAATATTTTGTTCAGCGACAACACAAAATATCCTTCTACAACACATTCGACACATTCTAAAAACGTGGTTCGAATCTAGTAGGCATGCATCGAGCCCAAACTTCCCGGGATTTGGTGTTCCCGGGTTCGGACATTCCCGGTACCTAAATATTAGGTTCAGTTATTATTGTACTTTGGCCTGCATTAGGCATCGAAAGAAGTCGGGAACACCAAACCCGGAACTGACCGAACCTCGGGATTTCCGATCTGTTCCCTGGTTCCGTGCACGCCTAGAACCTAGTATGCGGGGCATTTTTATTTTTTCTTCTGTAAGAGAAAATTATGACGTTTTTGAAAAATTTAGTTTGATGCAATTACTCCTATTCTAAAAGTCAAACACATCAAATCTAAACATCTACCCGTTTCGAGTTGGTCCAATTTTCATCAGACCGTTTCAGGGCAGTTTTCCTTCGGTGATCTATCAAGATCAGCATGTTCTCAGCTAATAGATAATCTAGAAATAATGTAGAGAAAAAGACACTCGAAAATGCACGAATGCCAAATGTTCAGTCATGTTGTCGATATGTAACTCGGCGTACGAAACAAAGCGATGAATGAATAATCAGAAGATAGGCAACGACGAGTTGATAATATGACACATTCTAATTACGGAACATTTGTGTGATGAAGTCTGCAACACTTTAAGTGGTAACACATTTCTGTTAGTGTGTTCCCCTTTCTATTTTTCAATACACTGTTTGTTCCTTATTAAAGTGACCGTTCAGAGAAAAAAAAGTTTCTTGATTTTATGCCAGAGTTCTCGAATAATGTATTTAAAAATATGAGAAACAATATTTTATATTCTTTTTTCTTCTTTTCCAAATTCGTCGAAGCGAGACTTCTGATGCCAACAAACTATATGTAGTTGTCTTTTCTCTTTATCATTGCCAATTGACTTCGTCTCAAAGCAGAGTTGCAAGTAGTAATAGTGAACGACTGATTGGATACAAAATTCTTTAAAAACGAGCGCAGTCTTCTTCGAGTGTTCGCATTCAAATCACTTTTACTGATATCATCAACTACCACTGTGCATATGACGCCTCTTTCTAAACAGATACATCTCACATGCAGCGTATAAGTTGTACTAAAAAGTCTGATCGATCTAATACAAACCAATTATATACGGTTTCATCTTATTTTTTATGAGTCACGTTGTAATGCTGAAACTAGGTCACACAGTGGCTATATAAAAGGAAGTATTTGTAAGAGTGTGACTCATATAAAATTGTGTTACAACCTATAGAGTGTGTGGGATGTGAGGTGCCGATGTAAATGTGGACTTGGGTGTGGTGGTAGGTCTGGCCTATTGAATGTATTGAAAATATATACCCCCACCCCACACCCTTTATCAACAATATACTATAAACAAACAAATAGATTAATAAATTATTATTAAAATAAATAATAAAAAGAAACATACTCTTGCTTCACCAATAGTTTCATATGGTGACTGCTTTTACGTGTAAACTATTTTCTTTGTTATTCCAAATACAATTATTTCTTAAATATAGATTTCATCACATTATTTTTCAATATAAAAGTAGAAAATTTCAAAAAGATGTTATTTACGTTTAAAGTAAAGGCAATAAAATTTAGATCAAATTTAACCACAGGTAAACTTTTTTAATTCTTTATAATGATAATTCCATTCTATTTAATAATTATTTGATAAAGAATTAGTTTCAATTAAAAATTTCAGACATGAAAGAAATAATTTCCCAAGATTTCATGAGCAATCGAAGTTCGAACAATTCCATCTCACCCAATCTGACGTGGATGACGAATATGATGAATTATGTCTTCATGTTTTACAACTATAAAAAAACAAATAAACTATCGATCGAATATTTTATATGAAAATCTTTTTTTTTTGAAACCTTTTAATTAATGTACATGATGTACTTGTTAAATCCGTAGCATCACTTGCAGGTCTTCCATGAGGACCAAGAATACCTTTGCCTAAACCTTTAAGAACACCCTTTACATTTAACATGATATCCTAGAATTATTAATTGAAAGATTCATTAAGAAGAAAATAAAAATAAAAAGTTTAACCGCATTTTTTTTTCTATTTGAAACAAATTCCGGTGTTGTTTTTGCTTGTAGTTCTTTTCGTTGTATTCGAACATTATAATAATTTTTCTTAATGTTAATTTAACTAACACCTAACAAATATCTAGTACCAGTTGTTATACCTTCAATAAATTCAATTATTATTTTCCATTACGCTCTTGAAAAGAAAATAGATTTAGTTTTTATTTAAACAAATATTTTTCATTTGTTTTATGTGAGTCATAAAAAAAATGATTCAACGCTTTCAGCAACACTGAATAAACACCAAACGAATTTCCAAGTACAACAACATGAAGTTAGTTTAAAAATTAATTTTCATAATGATTACTAATTTCTCTTATTAATTTTGATATTATATATCGATCAATTTTTTGTTGATAAAAATTTACTCTGAAATTTGTTTTTTATTCTTTATCTTTGATAATTTTTAACATAACATCTTGAATTTTAACAATATTTAAAATTTCTAATAGGAAATCAACTAATAGATATTCAGCTAATAATTGTTCACTGGATTTTGAATCATGAATTGAAAAACTAACATGAATCTAACGAAATATTTTTTCATTAAAAATATTTTTCTTTCTTTCAATGTATAATCTCTTTCATCTTTGATGAATATTTCTAATGGATTAGATAAACGTTCTAAATCAATATTCATATTAACTGAAGTTGCTGCACAATTCTGAAAGATTTCAAAAGTTAATACAAAAAAAAACTCTATTTAACCTTTTCAGGTTTCACAAATGCAGTAACGGCTACTACTAAATCTTGATCAACAGCAAAAACAAATTCTTGAATTAATAATTTAAAATATCTTCAAATTAAAAAAAATAAATCTTTTCTAAGGAATATTTATTTCTAAATACTTGATATAAATTGTATTGAATCGAACTGATGGACTTTTAAATGCACTTTATTCAATAAATGATTTACCAGCTATTAAATAAATAAATAAATTTATACGTATATCAGTTGCTGTTACTTGTGAAACAATTCGATAATGTACAGTTGGAAATAGTTATTTTTTAATTGATTATCCGTTTTGTATGTGATTGGTTTTTAAATGAATAGCCATATTGCTTATTGACCATCTATAACCAATCCATAATTCATCAAGTGATTAACGTTTAATACATATAGAACTACCTTCATTATCATTTAGTTCAGCTATATCTTCATTAAATGAAATATACTTTAAAAATCAAATCGATATACATTTGTTTAATTATTTAAGAGCTGATCCATGAGACCATCACCCAAGGTTGTAATCATTCGTAAGTGAGAATTTTCTCGCTGTTCTAAACGATTGGATGATACCGTTGTTATTGATTGCCTTCGATCTATTATTTATCTTCAGACCATTAGAGTTACATACAACTAAGAAACTAGACATAAACATATGTAACGTCACTGCTATTCGCTCTTTACGCATGACCAGTTTTTCACGTGATCGTTTTATACAAAATATATGATGTTCAAGCAAGAGACGAAGGTAGTTACTTGTAAGAGAACGAACATGAATAGAAGGAAAAATAGAACGTGATAAAAAAAACTGGTTTTGGTCCGAACGCAATCAGTCTTTCATCATTACATTTCAACGACTACATGACGACGACGTTTTCAAAAACCGAAGAAATGGCTAAGACATTGCCTGTCATTTCAAAAGATGTAACTGCTTCATCACTGTATACTACAGTCAAACTTTCACCAATAGTTCAAAATTTTCGCCTCATTTGGCTAGATGCTAATATCAACAGATCGAATCCAGACTGTTGCAACACACTTACTCGTTTAAGACGTGTTGTCAGTAGTATTGATACATTTACTGCTATCGATCCATGTATGAATTTTCTTAAAAATGTTCGCGACGAAAAAGCTTTCATGGTTGTATCTGGTAGTCTTGGTCAAAGCGTCATGCCCATCGTTCATTCAATGGCTCAACTCGATTCTATCTTTATTTTTTGTAGTAACAAAGCCCGCTACGAACATTTAATGACTGAGGGGCCTAAAGTGAAGGGTATACTTACCCATATCGATATGATTTGTAAATCATTGTATCAAACTACATACCATTTTAATCAAGATTCAATGCCAATGAGTTTTCTTTCGGCTATTGGCGCATCATCATCCGATACAAATCTGAACCAATCTGATTTAAATTTTATGTACGGTCAATTATTCAAAGAGATTTTATTGGACATTGATGATGACGATGCACGATCTATCAAAGAAC